AGGTACTCGGAACTTTTTTATTATTGTATGGGTATCCAAAAATAATAACAAGATCCAATTTTCTACTCAAAAACTACATACAAATTTAAAAATAGATTCAGAATTTATATTTTTCCATAAGGTGATGATGACAGACAATAAAAATTTAAAATACACACGTCATTGTAAAATCAATATAAATAATTTTTAATATATTATAATAAATATTTTATCTGTGTTTCATTGTTAATATTTAGTATATATTGTGTCTCCTGCTTTAATGAAATCAACTAGAARATAAGTTAAGTCTTAAATACCAAGGACTAAGACATAAACCCTTTTAAGTGTTTATCCAATGTCATATAATGTCTCATCGAGGCCGTGAAACGTTTTCTATATTGACATTATTCATCATAAGATGTCACTGGGCGATAATGCCATTGTATAAAAAATGTATATACGTATATACCTACCCAATTTACGCGACAGTGTTAAATTTGTTGTATCAATTATAAATTTACTTATAACTAATTGTCATTAAATGACATTGGTACTTGGTAGACGACCTGGTACGACTTTTTGAGAGGTTAGGTTAGKAACTATTTGTTTTGTTTTTCATGTGCCTATACCTATAGGCTATAATAATAATATACCTACATGTACCCAGGGCCGGTCCAAGATATTTTGACGCCCCGGGCAATTTTTTGAAAAGCGCCCTTAATCAAATGCTCCATAATACATTTAATACTTTTTATACTTACCTACATATTTTGTKTAAAATTCTTATATATATATGGATAGGCAAAGGATTTAAAAAGTTATTTKGATACAATTTATTATATACGTATCGGCTGTAACACATACTTTTTTGGTTTTCCCCAGTTAATGATTGTATATCATTGTATATTATTTTTTATTATTTGTAATGTAATAATACAAATTTGAAAGTGGAGTAAAAAAGTAAAATCTATAAAAAWATATATATATAACAGAATATTYTGTCATAGATAATTTAGTCATTTAGCTATATTATTGTTAATTTGAATAAATATCACGCTAAAATTTATAAAATATTCGTATATTAAAAGCGTCCTGGGCAAACGCCCGGTTCGCCCGTATCTTCGGCCGGCACTGCATGTACCAATTATTATTACTTATTAGTAGACTGCAAATAATAAAAGTGTATGTATATTATATGTACCTTGTACCTATTATATAATAATTAAGAGCATAGAAGGTAACAATCTTTAGTCAATAATTATGTAGGTAATTTATACATTTAAGTATTTTAGAACAGAACTACAGAAGACAGAGTAAGTTTTATGATGAAATATTGTTTACTATTTATATGATCATTATGATGATGATTGCCATATAAGTGTTAAGAGGACGTGATACCCGCATTTGTTTTCTCCGTCTTATACATGTGCGTAACATAACAAATTTTATGTTCAGCTGATCACTTTTAACTCCGTTAGTTCAAAAATTAGTGTGAATTGACATTGACMTCTTATAACATTTAAAGTTAAGAATATTATTTAGGCGACCTCATGGGCTTTTTACTATATTTTAATTTTGAAGTGAGTTATAAAATATATAAAATTATAAATATTTTGTTCATATTAAAATACTTATAACTCGCTTCAAAATTAAAATATAGTAAAAAGCCCATGAAGTCGTCTAAATAATATTCTTACCTTTAAATGTTATAAGAGGTCAATTCGCACTAATTTTTTAACTACGGAGTTAAAAGTGATCTACTGAGCATAAATTTGTTATGTTACGCACATGTAAGACGGAGATTTATTTGTTGGGTASRTAAGCTTGAAAATTTAATACAGGGTTTCTAACACATTATAACAATAGCAGATGAAAAATATTAAAAATACATAGGCAYGATTTTTTTTTATAAGCATTTAAAGTTTAAATTTTGACTTAATACGTAAAAATTACGGCAATATTCAAATTATCTTAGATATAAATTCATAAAAGTTTTTCTTTTTAGATCTAAGATTTAAAAATTAAATACAAGGCTCCAGGGGTGTATTTAGAAATGTCTTAAGGGGGGGGGCACAAACAAAAAGTTCAAATTTACGTACATGGGGCGTAGAGTTGTAAAATTTCTCATATAATAAAAATAAGTATAAAATACGGTGAATGGGGGAGGCACGGGCCCCATGTGCCCCTCCCTTAAATACGCCCCTGCAAGGCTCCTAA